ATCACCTTGCTGCTCACACGGGAGACGTGCACAGCAGGGGCCAGTGCACCGAAGGGCACTCGTGGACGGGTACTTGAGACGGCCCTGCCCTTTCTGGCACAACCGCCTTGGCCCACACCAGCCACAGTTCCCGCGGCTCCCAGGAGTCGCACGTGTGTCTGATGGACCCCCAACCCCCTAAAGCAGGCACAGGGCGGCCCGAAGCTGCAGGGCTGATGACCGGTTTCTGAGGATTGCAAACCAGCCTGGGTTTTTTAAGAAAAGGAAAGATGTAAGCTCTTTAGCCAAAACAAGATGAAAACCTCAAAGGAATTCAAATTACTCAGCCACAAGAAGGAAGGAAGGAGGACGGAGCAGCACCAGGCTGAGGTTCCCACTGACGAGGGCAGAGCGAAGCCGCCTGTCTTCTTTCACCTGCAGAAATCTAAACCTTCAGCTCATTCAGCAGCAAAATGGCCAGTTTTAGCTTGAGGAAGCTGTTTCGGAAGTCCAGGGGTGACAGCTGCCCCAGATGCAGCTGCGGGCTTGTGGGCTCTTTCTTCGGCCTTGTCTGTGAAACCCCCAGCTCCAGCCCCAGGCCCTGCGGCAGGGACACCCTGCGCTCCAGGGCCTCCATCCAGACACTTGCCTGGCCCATGTGCAGGGCTGTCAGGATGCACTTCACAGACACAGGGGCCGACATAAAGTGAGGTGGCTGCCAGTGAGAGCGCACACCTGCACCGTCCAGGCGCAGTGACCTGGGCGGGCAGGACCATGCCACCGGCCAGCCTCCAGCCTCCACCATGGGCAACACAGATCTACTGGCCCAGCCTCATGGCCGGGCACCAGCAGCAGCCTCTCCCAGTCAGCACCCCAGAGCCTCTGCTGCAGGACAGGGGATGCTTGTGGCTTGGTGGAGAGCTTGGGGGCACACATGGCCCTCGGTGGCCCCAGGGCCCAGGCTGGCGCAGAAACCACATACATGGTGTCCAGTCTGTCCCATGGCTCTCAGGTGCTGGGCATCAGCTGCCATCGGCTGCGTGCCCAGAGGTGACCTCGATGCCCCCCACAACAAGGGGGGATGGCCAGGTGGCCTGGCAACTCCCTTCCGCTCCCTCTGTGCCTGAGCCTCTGTGCACGTCTGTGCCGGCCTTGCCACATGGCCGGACCACATCCCAGGGTAGGAACACAGCTGCCTGTATCCAAGGGCCAGGCATGCAGAGGGCACCAAAAAGAAAGCAAAGGGCAGCCACGACATACTACAGCCGCCGCCGGTTCTGACGCAAGGCCCCACGTGGGCCTCAGCTGCATGAGGCCACAGGGTCCCGGAACACGGGTCACAGAAGACAGAAGGTCGGCCCTCAGTGTCTGTGCTAGAGGCATCCCCAAGTGCCCCTGCTCCCTTTGGAGGCTGCCGTTCTCCTGGACATCTTGGAGTGGCTTGCACCCTCAAATGCAGAGCTGGCTGGACCGGGCACCCACAACCTCTCCTTCTGTGTGGAATGTGGCCGAGCACCAAGCAGAGCATGGTCCACGTTGCCTTGTCTCTGGGCACATGTGTGCTGGCCCGAGTCTCTCCTGCAAATGTGTATCTTGTCTCCACCCCGTATCTCTATGTTGATGTGGTAGTGTCCAGACTGTGCTCGAAGCCATGAAGAATTTCCCAGGATCTTCTACAAGAAACTGCTCCCCCTGACCGAGAACTGGGCGTTCCACTGCCACATCCAGCTCTCTGGCCCCACAGAGGACAGATGAGCGGTGGCTTCTGGGTGGCCAGGAGGGGCAGGGAAGGGGCAGCCCCACCCCTGCCTCTGGGGGAAGGCCAGCTGCAGTCCTCAGCGCTGTGGCTGGCTCCAGTCTGAAGGCATCAAGTCATGTAATGGGGCTGAGCCCCCAGTTCCTGTGAGCAAGGCCATGCCGAGGGCAGACGGAGTTTGCTGCGGGAAGCCAGAGGCCAGTGCAGGTGAAGGCCTGGGCCCTGGCCTGGAGCTCAGCCCTGGACAGAGCCAGCATGTCTTGCAGCTGTGGTCTTCCCGGCTCCCTTCCGGGAAACATGTACCATGTTAGCACATTCAGAAGGGCCATGGCATGGGGTGGGACCGGCGAGTGCATCCTACAAGTTGGGACCTGCCCTACACAGGCCAATCAGAGCTGTGCCCATGGCCTCCTGCAGATGTGGGCAGGAGCCCCCCATGCAGGCCAGGGCCACGGCCTCCTCAACGCACAGGCTGGTCTGTCATGAGTGTTCACTCCAGTGTTGCCTCTGGAGTTACCCCAGTGCACCTTCCTCAGCGCTACTTCATGGACGTCTGTGCTCTGTCCACAACATTCCAGTTAACAGTGACTCTTGTCTTTGGAACTGTTTTCTGCCAGCCTCAGGGAGCACCGTGGAAACCAAAGCTATTCTGCAGACCAGATGGTGAGGGTGAGTGTGCAGGGGCAGCCTGTTCCCAGGACTGAAGCCATCCTCCCTGCAGTCACTACCACTTTTAAAAACAGCCACGCAAGTGCACTGCCACCATGCACCACTCCTCACCCACGCACGACCCCAGAGACTCCGGATCCCTCACAATCCGCTCTCCAGACCTTCATGGCACCGTCACTAGCAATCCCATGGCCCTGGCCCTTCAGGGACACTCGGTGATGAAGCCGCGCGGGCCCCACCAAAAGCAAAGTGTGGCGCTCCGCAGAGTTACCAGGGATGCAGAGGGCACCACGTCAGGGGTGCAGAGAGACACCTGTCTGGGAAAGCGCTGCTGTTGGTGTTTTCAGACATGTACAGAGGCAGGAGCCAGCACTGCTCACAGAGAATTAATAATGGCCAATCTCATTTGTGTTATTTTGGGGGCTGGGGAGAGAGGGCAGGTTGGAGGTCTTGGCTCTTAGTGCACCCAATCTCCACAGGGTTCTCTGCCACCGTTCTGTGGCATCCAGGATGCCTCGCACGGAACCACGAGGTGGATTTTGGAGAAGGGAAGGAGCGAGTCCCCTCGCTGGCCCCAGCCAGGCATCACGAGGGGTGCCTTGGGTGACTCAGAACTGGCCCTCCTCAGTGGATACCACCTGGGAGGACAAGGATGATAGGCAAGGCTCTGGACTACACAAAGAAGGAAGAAAGTAAGAGCCAGAGGGACGCTGGACTCAACACCTAACTTTTGGCCAGACACTTTGCTGTGGTGGCCACGGCTCTCCCAGACCTGGGTAGGATCTGTCGCCGGCGGCACGGCTGCCAGGTGAGAGGAACAGCAATGTGGCAGGGAGGGCACCTGGCCAGGTGAGGGCGCACCTGGGCCCAGGGGTCTCCATGCCAGGTGGGCGGAGTCACGGCCAGAGGTGGAAAATACAGAAAGGTAGCACTTTTGTCTGAAAGCTGAAATGTATTTAATTCACAGGCTAGCCTTTGATTCTGAGTTTATTCATTTTAACTCAGAAAGGAGTTTTCTTTCATGAAATGATGGCAAAATTAGAAGGTAACAATCCAAGCAAGCCTCAACCCCCAAACTATTCTCTAAAGAAAACGTCCCAGGGGAGTGCCGGGTCTAAATGCCCACACGCAGCCTTCACGTTGACATCGTAGCCACACGGGGAGCACGTGCACTTTCCAGAGCGCACTGACCTTCCGCCATGGCCCTGGAAGCCGCACTTCACGGTGGGGGCACTGGCTCAGGGATTTTAAGGTTCACGGTGCCGCGCCTCCCAGGGAGAAGGCCCCAGGCTGATGGGCCAATGGACAGGGGCCGGCCAAAGCCCTGACCGTGAGTGAGGTGAACACCCGGCCACCCCAGGTGCTCACATCACTGACTAATCATACTAGGAGAACCTGGCTGCTAAATGGCACCATCCACTCACCAGCAAGCCCCTGTGCAAATGTAACTGGCAAAGAGAGCCAGATTGGGGCAGGGGCAGCTCCCTGGATGGCCTCACCCTGGTCTCCCTATCCCGGATGGAGGCTCACAGGACCACCCAAGCTACTGTACCTTAGAGCATGCTTCCCACCGTCACAGGCGTTAGATGGTCACTCTCAGGAAACACCAATCCTAACTCTATTGCGTGTTAATTTCCAAGCACATCTAAGCCCCTTCTCAAGACAGAGCTGCAGAAAATGTCTCCAAACACGCCCAGAGCTTTTTTTAATCAACTGCCAGAAGAACATCTTTCCAAAAAAGAAACTGACTGTGTGTCCCAGCATGCTGTGTGTCTGGGGACCTGTGGGGACAGTGGGGGAGGAAGCACGGGGCAAGTGTGGGCCTGGCCACCTGGTGGGCCTGTCTACAGCGATCCTGTTCACACTGACACTGATGACCACTGAATGTTAGCTTTCTCACACTCAGCAAACATGCAGCTCTAATTTACCCCAGACCCTTCCAGGATGCCAGACCTGGGCAGAGAGTTCTCTGCTCCTGGACATAGAACCTTCCTCACCCACACTCAGGGCCACCTGGGTCCTAAGCCAGCCTTGCAGTCTGGGTGGCCACAGCTGTGCAGATGTCCTTTTGTCTCCTGAGCCTCTAGCAGGCCTGTGGTCACCCCCCGGCCCCCCAGAGATGGGAGGCACCGCGGCCTCTGACTCTGGCCGTGTTTGCTGAGCGAGCACTGAGGCTCTGGCCAGTGATGCCCCAGGCCTGTAGCTCCCACCCCTCCTCCAGCTCCTCCAGCTCCTCCAACCGGGGTACTGCATTCCCGCTTCCCAGGACCTCCAGCCCGGGACGTCTAAGTCCAGCCCCTCCTGCTCCCCCAGCTCCTCCAGCCCGAAACATAGAGCCCCCACACCGCCCCCAGCCTAGGACAAGGAATTCCTATTCCTCCACCCAGCACGGGACACTAGCAAGGCCTCCCCCACGGGACCCCCAGACGTCCTGGAGGCTGGGGAGGGACGGGCTCTCCTGGCCCCTCGGTAACTCGTGCGGCCATGGCGGCCCACGTCTCGCCTGTCCGCGGGTGGGCGCCAGGAACAGCTCTGACACCGCTCCCTGTCCCCAGGCGGGTGCGCAGTGCGACCCAGCCGTCGCCCCGCCGCCTACCTGCTTGTCCCGCGCGCGCCGCTCCGTTTCCTCCGCTCCTTTGCGGCCGCTCGCGTACGCTGACGCCACGAAGCTGTCCCCTGCGGCCCGGGGGCGGACGCGCGGGAAACCCGCACCGAGGAGGGAAAGAGACGCGCCGTGAGCCCCGCGGGCGCTGCGCCTTCGCTGTGTCCCCATCTCCCGGAGACCTCGCAGGGGCAGGCGTGCGGGTCCCGCGCGCTCCTGGAGACCCGCGGCCCCGTCCCCCCACCGCTGGCTCCAGGGCAGGGCGCGCGCGGGCTCCTGGCTCCGAGGGTCCCGGCCGGGGTCGCCGCCCCCCGCCCCGCCCCGCCCGTCCACTCGCCCGCTCACCTTCCGGGCTCTCTCTCCGTTTGCGGGCGACGGCGGCTGCGGCACGGCGGGGCGCGGGGAGAGGAAAACGACAGTGAGAGGCGGCCCCACGCCCGCCCGCCCGCCCTCCCGGCCCGCGGCTCACCGTGCTTGGACTGCAGTTTCCCCATCGCCGCCGCCGCGCCCCGCCGGGCCCCGCGCTCAGGTGCAAGGCTGAGTTCTGGAGCTGGGGCCGGGCGCCCGCGGGGGCCACATGGGCCGGGAGCAAGCTAGGGTTCCGGTAGGAGGTGAGGGAAGATGGCTTGACGCCGTGCCGGGGCCGGGGGAGCCGGGGGCCGCGGGCCGGAGATGGAGGGCACCCGGCGCAGATCGCGGGGACAGCGGCGGCAGCAGCGGCGGCGGCGGCCCAGCTCTCTCTGAGCGCGTGCGCCCGCGCCGGGGCTTTAACTGCGGCCCCCGCAGCGCCCCCGGCGGCCGCTGCCCGCAGCGCATCGGCCTCGACCCCCGCCCCCAGCCGGAGCCCCCAACAGCGACGAGGACCGGGCCTGGCCACCCGTAAGGGCGGTCAGGGGCTGCAGCAGAGCCTGGCGGGAGTCAGCTCCGACCCCTCACCAGGCCGTCCTGGGTCAAGACGTCCAACTCCAGAGGAGCCTGAGGGCCCCTCCCTTTGAAGGGGAGGTCCCGCCTCCCTTGGCTGCTTGAGAGGGGGTGGGGGTGTGGGCAGCCCAAAGTGGGGGGGTCTCCGTACAGGACTAGTTCCCGCCCTCTCCTGGCGCTCCAAATTGATGAAGAACCAGCGTTGGCCCCCCCCCGGCTGGAAGCGCCCTACACCCCCTTACTTTGTCCTTGGTTTGGGCAGGGTCTCCTCTGATCTGTGCCTTGAGGGTGTGGGAGCCTCCCAGGAGCCCTAAGCCTGGCCACCTGCGCTGCCTCCTCCACGTGTCCAATTCAGTGGCTTCAGCTCCCTCCCTGGCCTCATCTCAAGATCCTCCGGCTGGCTCTGGAAACCACTCCCTCAGGACCCTGCCCTGGACCCCCTCTCTGCCTCCTACCCTGCTGGGTACCTCGGGGCTCTCTTCCTTATTTACCTTCAGAGGAACCATCTTCCCTCACCTCCTGGAACCCTAACTTGCTCCTGTTTCTGGGACATTTCTCCCTTCCCTACCCATGAATCTCCTCCCTGACATGCACTGTTGCATTGATACATTGTATCTCTCTAGCCTTTCAAGAGCTAGCTCAGCATTTTCCCCATGGGCTGTTGCCACGCCCACGTCTCCAACCTCAGTGGGTGACCCCACTGCCAGGGCATCTCCTGTCCCTGGTGGAGGAGCTCCGAGGCTGGCGGTCGGGTACTCCTCACCTGCCCAGCTCAGGCCCTGCCAGGCCTCCGCTGAGCTGGCCCAGGTCCCACCCCATCTCTCGGTTCCCACTCCCCTGGCTGGAGCCGTCTCCCAGCTGAGCAGCGCAGTCCCGCGGCTGCTCAGCGCTGACCTACACCTCTGGAACTGACGTCCAGCCAAGCCCTTTCAGGCTAATTACTGCCTCCCATTCTCAGACCATCCTCAGGGCAGATGCCGCCATCACTCCATTTTACAGAGGCCTAGGCTGCTCAGTGTCAAAACCGGAAGCTGAACCAGAGGCCAGCCCCCACCCCAGCAGACCCCGGTGCTGGCTGTTTGCGGATACCTGAGCTGCCCGTGAGCCACCAACCCTGCTGGGAGTAGTCTTGCCTGCGAACCATTCCCAGCATCCTCAGAAGAACCCTAGTGGAGGGGCCACTTCCTGCAGGCAGACAGCTCTGGCACCTGTAGCAGGGTTGCACCTGGCCAGGCCCTGCCTGGGATGGGCTCAGAGTGCCCTTGGGTGTAGCGTCCAGGCGTCCAGCTTCAGGGCCAGGGCCACCCTCCCAGGCTCTTCCGGCCCCTCCTCTCTCCCTTGCACTACCCCATGTGGACTTTTAACTCCCAGTTTGGAAAGTAACGATGTCACCTGTGGTTTCAGGGTCCTAGTGAGTGTGTGAGAATAATAGTATTACATGTTATGCAAAGTAGCACAGCCTGAGGATTGCAGCCATTTCCATGCCTCTAAATCCTGCCCCTACTTGAGGACTGGTGAGCCATCCTGGGTGAAGATCTGCTGGTGGTCTTGTGACCCTTGTGTGGCTGGGAGCCTTGCCTCACACACTCATGGGCACTCCTCCCAAGACCCTGAGAAGGTCTCACTGGGGGAGGTTGGCTATTGTGGGCCATTGTGTCTCACTCCTCAGGTGGCTGAGCTCTGGTCCTGGCTAAATGCAGATGTCAGGAGGTCTGGGGAGGACATGTCCTGGGAGGGCAGGTGGAGCTGGGGGGCAGGGGTGGACTGTCAGCTCAAAGGGCAACCCTAAATGGTCCCTATGCCCCCAACGCCCACTGGACTCTTCCTCTTATAACCATTTTTCCTGGGTAGGGCAGAGCCCACCTGGGGTTGTTCCAGAGCTGGAGTCACCAGCTCCAGGCCCTGCAAAGCTCACCCCCGTGCCAGTTCACAATCCCTTTACATAACATGTAACACTATTGTCCTCACACGCTCACTAGGACCCTGAGACCACAGAAGATGACATCGTTACTTTCCAAACTGGGAGTTAAAAGTCCACATGGGATAGCGCAAGGGAGAGCCCCTTGAGATGTTTGCATCACAGGGCGGCCTGGTCCCCTCAGCCATTTCAGGAGGAAGGGGTTCTCTTTGCTCCCCTTGACGTTCCCTTCTGGCATGTGCATGCCCTTGCCCTCTGCGGGGCCAGTGGGCACCCACCACGCCTTCCTAATGCTGCCTCAGTGGTGGCTGCTGTAAGGTGCCCGTCTACTTTTGTAGAGGCCTTGGAACCAGTGTGGTTTGCTGGACGCCCTCCTCACAGGATGCCAGCCCGGGTGTCCTCTCCTGGGCCTGTCTGTGGGGCAACCCCCTGCCTGCCTCTTCCAGGGGCCCTGCAGGGACTTCCAGGTTCCTCAGGCCCGTCCCCGCCTCGCCTTTCTCTCTGCGTCTGCCCGGGACAGCCCGAGCTGGGACCTTCTGGCGGGAGCCGCAGCTTCTCAGGGCAAGTGTCCTTGTCCCTGGGGAACGGCCAGTGTATGCGGGGACACTTGCGGCCCCAGCCCACTGCCGGCCTGGAGGAAAGGACGCGGGGGACCCCCACAAGTGACCGGAGGCTGCAGCGTGGCTCGGGCTCACAGGGGGGTTGCTGGAGCAGCCTGGACCCCCGATGCCCGCACGTCCAGTCCGGGGGTGCTCCGAGGCTGAGCCTGCAGGGGGCTGGTCCGGGGACCATGGTCGTCCTCGCCCTGCCTTTCTCTGGGCCACGGAGCTTTGAGGACAGTTTCGCCTGCTGATAAAATCCGTTCCCAGCACTTTCAAAGGGCAGAGCGGGGCTGAAGCCGTCCCTGGAGGTTAAAATGCGCGTCCTCCTCCTCGCAGCTTTTCAAAACAGCTTTTCCTTATCTCATCAGCAGCGGGCGGGGCAGGGGCCTGGTATCCAGGCTGGGGAGGTGCGGCCGCAGGACGCCGGGGCATCCGCCGTGTGAGGAGCGTCGCGGCGTGAGGGGGCGCCGCTCCCAGCACGGCCGCCTGGGCCCGCCCTTCTCTGCACCAGCCCAGGACCCGCAGGCTCCGAAGCGGGCGGCGGCGTGCGCGGGGCTCTGTCCTCCCGGCCCCTCCACCTCAGCGGACACAGCCGCGGGGTCCCCACCAACAGCGTTCATGGGGCACCACGGACCCCGTCTCCCTCCTTGGCCATTGTCCCCGCGAGGCCTTGGCGCTCATGCGGCCTTGGGAACAAAAGCGCACCCGCGCGCCCCTCACTCGGGTTGGGACACCCTCGTGAACTCAGCCTCTCCCACCGCGACTCCACCGTTCTGGGAGGCGGGGCTCATCCTGTTTTGCGGTTGTCACGGTGGCCATGGCTCCTCCTCTCCCGTTTAGAAGGCAGCGAGGTCGGGGTCCGCCGTGTGAGGGGCGTGCGCAGCGTGAGGGGGGCATCCGCCATGTGAGGGGGCGTCGAGGCATGTCCGCTGTGTGAGGTGCGTCCGCAGCGTGAAGGGGCGTCTGCAGCGTGAGGGGCGTCGGAGGCATGAGGGGCGTCCGCTGATGGTGAGCGTAGCGGCGAGGGGCGCCCACCGTGTGAGGGGGCGTCACGGCGTAAGGGGCGTGGACTGCGTGAGGGGGCGTGGACTGCGTGAGGGGGCGTCCGCGGCGTGTCTGCAGTGTGAGAGGGGGCATCCGCGGACAAGGGGCGTCCTCCGTGTGTGGGAAGTCCATGGAGTCAGGAGGCATCCACCATGTGAGGGGCGTTGCGGTAAGGGGTGTTTGCCATCTGAGGGGGCGTTGTGGCGTGAGGGGGCGTCTGCAGCGTGAAGGGCGTCCGCCGCGTGAGGGGCGTCCGCCGCGTGAGGGGCGTCCGCGGTGAGGGGCGCCGTGTGAGGGGGCGTCCCTGTGTGAGGGCGTCCGTGTGGGGCGTTGCCGTAGCTGTGAAGGCGTCCGCGTGAGGGGGTCCGCGGCGTGAGGGGCGTCCCTGTGTGAAGGGGTGTCTGTGGCGTGAGGGGTGCCCCGTGTGTGAGGGGCGTCCCTGTGTGAGGGGCGTCCTTGTGTGAAGGGGTGTCTGCGGCGTGAGGGGCGTCTGCGGTTTGAGGGGCGTCCGCGGCGTGAGGGGCGTCCCGGGCGTGGAAGGGGTGTCTGGTGAGGGCGTCCGGAGCGTGGGGGGGCGTCCGTGTGTGAGGGGCGTCCGCGGCGTGAGGGGCGTCCGCGGCGTGAGGGGCGTCCCTGGGTGAAGGGGCGTCCGCGGCGTGGGGGGTGTCCCCTGTGTGAAGGGGCGTCCGCAGCGTGGGGGGCGTCCCTATGTGAGGGGCGTCCGTGGCGTGGGGGGCGTCCCTATGTGAGGGGCGTCCCTGTGTGAGGGGCGTCCGCGGCGTGACGTCAGGGTGTGGCATGTCTGGAAGGCATGGTGTAGCCAACTCTGACCCTGGGGTCAGGAGCCTCTTTTGAAGACACTGTCTTGGCCTGAGGCTGTGGCTGGAGTTGAAATAGGCGCATGCGCGGAGCCAACACCCACTTTGGTGCCCAGCTTTGTCCCCATAGTGCGAGCAAACCCGTGAGCCTCGAGACCCGAAGTAGCCGGCAAGACTGAAATTCACACACGGGCTGGTCTTCGCGTGAGCCTTGGGAACTTCTAAGAAAAGCACTGCCTGACATGGGACAGAACGCTACTGTGGCACGTCACAGGGAGCCTGCTGGGGCCATTTCCCCTCCCTGCCCATGCTGCGTTGGCCCTGGCGGTTCTGCCCTACGCGGGAGGATGGCGACTCCGGGTCCGGATGTGTGCTCCCGTTGCGTGCTCTTCACTTTGCAAATGGATCACTGCGTTTTTAAGTGCACAAGATCCCCTGGATGTCGCCTGCACACTGCCCCCTAGGCAGCCTTTGAGTCCACCTCTCCTTGTCTGTGCAGCCTCTGCCTGCCATGCTGACTCCTGAAGCCTTGGCTGTGCCTCCCACGTGCCCTGAGTTTCCCTGCAGACACACGCTTTGGCATGAACATGACTTCTAAGGCATGAACAGGAAGTTCAAGTGGCTGCCACACCCAAGTGCCTTGCATTTCACCTGCTCCCCGCACCCCCCCCCCCGCCGGGTGTTGCCACACGACGCTTATTTTGAATTACAGGGTGGTTGTGATATCACCTCTGGTTCATGGACTGTTAAAACTATTAAAAAGGAGGTGGATGTGAATCATGCCTACCTGTTTCCTGGCACACCTGGAACGTTGCCAGACCACTGGATACTTAGAAGGATAATTCTACATTTATCTTCAGCCATCATTCTGACCGCATCCAAAAGATGAATCATCTGCCCTATTAAATTTAATAACATGCATTTCTCAAGGGAAAATGCCTCAAAGGGACCCAGACTGGCCACGATTCATAGTTGAGGAAACCTCTTCCAGTTTCAGGTAAATATTTGTGCAAATCTTTTTTTTTTTTTTTTTTTTGAGACGGAGTCTTGCTCTGTCACCCAGGCTGGAGTGCAGTGGCCGGATCTCAGCTCACTGCAAGCTCCGCCTCCCGGGTTTACGCCATTCTCCTGCCTCAGCCTCCCGAGTAGCTGGGACTACAGGCGCCCGCCACCTCGCCCGGCTATTTTTTTGTATTTTTTAGTAGAGACGGGGTTTCACCGTGTTAGCCGGGATCGTCTCTCGATCTCCTGACCTCGTGATCCGCCCATCTCGGCCTCCCAAAGTGCTGGGATTACAGGCTTGAGCCACCGCGCCCGGCCTTGTGCAAATCTTTTAGGCCAATTTGTGATTAGAGACCCAGAAGGGAAAAAGCCACCCAGTTCAGAAAATGGTTTTCCAAAGGTGTACTGGGCATACTTTTGTATGCACTTGTTTTT